GGATTAGAGTGTGCCTTGATTCTCTTTGTGGCCAAGACCTTTGATTCGCTGCTGTCATGCGCCGCTGCCTAAGCGGCCGCTTGGTTTCAGTTTATTCAACGGCACAAGATATGTGCGCATTGTTTGCTTTGCAACGGATGCCTGTCGCGCATCACCCGGGCCCGCCGGCCACGGAAGGTGGCTGGAAGCCAGCCGGACAAAGAGCAGACGCCAAGCGAGCGCAGGCAGCAGCCGCTGCCTGTTGCCTGGGAGTAACTGGGCGTAAATTCTTGCCAGGGAGGCAGCCATTTGACCAGCCCAAACTAGCCCCACTAGGAGCTTGCTGCTGCTGTTGCTGCAACGCTGCCCCCGCTTGATACACTCGCTGCTGGCGCCCGTCACCGCCCAGCTGCATGTCGGGCTGCTCAGGCGGCCGCGAGGGGCAGCTGGGCCCGGACTGCCAGATGTGCTGGCTGGAGCCTCGAGCCGCGGGCGGAGCCCTGGGGCTGCACACTTCGGGAATCTGGCGCCATCAGTGACGGGGCAGCTGCCTGGCGCGTGGCTGTGGGGACCAGGAGTGCGGAGGTCACAGGCTGGCATCCGTTCCGGCGGGCCCGGATGCGTGATGGGCCGCACTCTGATGAGGCGTCAGCGCATCGCCTCCCCTATACAGCAGCGCCCCTAGCCCCAGGCCTTGCCCAGGCGTCGCGCAGGCGCCGACGCTCCGCCCTTCAGCTGCGTGCCGCGCGGCATCCAAACAGCAGAACGCGCCGCGCGATGCGGCCGGTGCTCTCGTGTGTGAGCGCCGGGGCAGTCGCCCGCGCGGCAGCGGGCGTCGGCATGCGGCGGCGGTCGGCCAAGCATCAAGGCTCGCTTGCGCAGTTACAGCAGACGCCGGCGCGTTACACAGTGTGATCCGGGTCGGGCCTGGCATGCACGGCGCAGCCTCAAGCACCCTGAAACGAGTCACATGGAGTCGCGCCAAAAGTGCGTATGGGGGCGGCGCTCGGCGCGCGGTGGGAGGCTCAGCGGCTGACGCCCGGCGGGCGGCTCACAGGTGGGGCGGTTGGTTGACTAGATGGTGTTTATTACTTGGTGTTGCGTTCGATTGACACCAGGGGGCGTCAAGGGTATGCAGTCGGGTCAGCCTAAGACAGCGGGGCGAGCCCGCTCCGCGCGTCAGCAAACGGCGCCCGTCGGCCGCGAGCGGTGAGGGGGTGCCGACCCGAGCGCCCGGCCCGCCAGCGGCAGCGGCGCGCCCGAGCCCATGCGCCGCCCCTGCTTCCGCCATCGTGGGGCGCCGCGCGCAGCGCCAGGACCGCTCGCCCCCGCGCGATGCTGGCGGTCCGTCTTCCCCTGCCGCCGCAAGGGGCGGCGGCGTGCCCCTGTACGGCGCGGCGCGGCGCCGGCGCGCTGGGCCGGGGCGTCGTCCTTGGGCTTGCCCTCCATCCCCCCTCTATCTCGTGACCTCCGCTGAGTCCCGCCTCTTGAGGGGCGGCAGCACCTTCTCCGCGGATATGTATGAGAAGTAGGGGGGCAGCGGGGGCCTGGGGGGGGGCATGAGGGTGT